ATCTCAGCCTCGGATTGGGATCGTATTACATCTCAGCCTCGGATTGGGATCGTATTACATATCAGCCTCGGATTGATCATGTTTTTATATTAAATTTAAAAAATATGATTCAACATTTTAAAGACCTTTTCCCTTCCCCGGTTACATTGTTGCATGCAATGGAACTGAATTTAGATGTGAAACACGAGCCGTGTGGATTATGATAAAGATCACTGGCATTAAGGTATCTTTCTTGGCAAGATATGGAGAAACACATTTAACTGAATAAACAATGCAGACATGAAATCAAGGTGGTGTGAGGCTCATAGAATTATACTTCATAACACCTTGCCATTTGTTGAAACTATTTAATCGAAAAGTTTTAATATTCAAGCTCGAGGAAATTAGCTAAAAATTTGCATAGGTGGGTGCAAATTAGTAAGTACTTGTACAAATTAGTAAGTTTACATTATCGCCCCCTGCAGTTGTCATCGCGATGGCATTAGATATAGCAAATTTTGTTGATTCATGGTTAATTTGATTGATAAAAGTAAAAATATATATATTTAATTAGCAGTTGTAAACATCTCTTTAAATCGAAGTTCAAAACTTATTAAGCTTCGTATTATTGGACACGGATTCTAAAGCTATAGTTTCTTGCCGGGCTATTGATTACCCTGACTATCASGCTTTCCAAGAACAAGTTTATAAAGTTAACATTCCTTAGATATCAGTTAATAAACCAACTTTGAATCGTAAACGATCCCTATCCGAGGCTGAGATGTAATAGGAGTCCAATCCGAGGCTGAGATGTAATACGATCCCAATCCGAGGCTGAGATATGTAATACGATCCCAATCCGAGGCTGAGATATGTAATACGATCCCAATCCGAGGCTGAGATGTAATACGATTCCAATCAGAGGCTGAGATGTAATAGGAGTCCAATCCGAGGCTGAGATGTAATACGAGTCCAATCCGAGGCTGAGAGCAAAATCAGTATCATGAAACGTAGATTCCGATACGAAGGTTAAAAGTAAAATCGAGTTCACTATGAAGGTTAGAAGTGTAAAAATTGAATGTGTGATAAAAATTAAATCGTCAGTCTGTTGTTGTCAGTTGAATGTTCTGAACGTGACTTGTAATACGAGTCCAATCCGAGGCTGAGAGCAAAATCCGTAAATTCGTCGAGAATAGGCAGTGTATTCTACTAAGAGC